CACAAGCAGGGGGAGAGGGTGAGGGAGAAGCAGGCTTCCCACCGAGCAGGGAGCTCAATGTGGGGCTCGATCCCAGGACCCTGGGACCATGACCTAAGCCGAAGACAGACGCTTAATGACTGAGCCACCCAGGTGCCCCTATTTTCAGATAATTTTGAAGAAGCAATCCCATGGTTTCAATTCACTATCTTAAATCAGTGGCATATTAGTACTTCTAATTGACGTACGTATTTAGGAATGTTTTGTTTTTTTTAGATTTTATTCATTTATTTGTCAGAACACAAGCAGGGGGAGTGGCAGGCAGAGGGAGAAGCAGGCACCCCACTGAGCAAGGAGCCCTATGTGGGACTTGATCCCAGGATACTGGGATTATGACCTGAGCTGAAGGCAGATGCTTAACTGATGGAGCCACCCAGGTGTCCCTAGGAATGTTGTTTTTTTTTTAAGATTTTATTTATTTGAGACAGAACATGAGCAGTGGGGCAGAGGGAGGGATAAGCAAGACTCCCTGCCAAGCAGAGAACTCAACGCGGAACTCAATCCCAGGTGCCCCTAGAAACGGTTTTTAAAAGAAAAATCCAGATGTAGAAGGGAGGTATGAACCTTAAAAATATAAGTGTTAAGAATACAATTAAGACCTCAGATATCTTCCAACTTTTTTTGTGTGTGTGTGGTAAAATACACATAACACGAAGTTTACCATCTTAACCACTTTTTTTCCCATTAACCCCTTTTAAGTATACAGTTCATTGATATTAAGTATATTCACATCGTTGTACAACCATCACCACCATCCATCTGGAGAACACTTTTCATCTGGCAAAACTGAAGCTCTTTAATTCTCCCTACAGTAACTCCCTACTCCTCCTTCCCCCCCAGGCCCTGGCAACCCCTATTCTACTTTCTATGATTTCGGTTATTCTACTTCACGTAAGTGGAATCATATAGTATTTGTCTTTTTGTGACTGGTTTATTTCACTTAGCATACTATTCTCAAGGTTCACTCAGTAGCATATTGCAGAATTTCTTTCCTTTTTAAGGCTGAATAATATTCCATTGTGTGTATACCACATTTTGCTTATCTGTTTATCTGTTGGTGGACACGTCAATTGCTTCCATGTTTTAGCTTTTGTGAATAATGCTGCTATGAATATGGGTGTACAGATAATCTCTTTAAGACCCTGTTTTCAATTTTTTTTGAATATATACCTAGAAGTGGAATTGCTGCATTATAAGGTAATTATATTTTTAATAGTTTGAGGAACTGCCATATTATTTTCCATAGTGGCTGCATCATTTTTTACATTCCCACCAACAGCACACAAGTGTTCCAGTCTCCATATCTTCACCAACACTTGTTATTTTCTGGGGGTTTTTTTGTTGTAAGTAGCTATCTAATAGACATGAGGTGGTATCTCATTGTAGTTTTTTGGGGTTTTTTTAAGATTTTATTTGAGAGAGAGCATGAGTGGGGGTGGGTGGGAGAGGCAGAGGGAGAAGCGGACACCCCACTGAGCAGGGAACCCAACACGGGGCTAGATTCCAGGACCCTGGGATC